CTTTTTTACAAATGTTCTCGACCTCGGGCCATCCAAGATATAGATCAGTTTATTTCTTCATCAGAATAGATTTGGATCATTTTAGCATTCCATCACTTCCTCACCAATGGATCCACTGCAGTGAATGTGTGCAGTCAGAATGAGAGTCCAAACAGGTGATAAAAACATAATAACACACAAATCTAGTAATCTATACAATCAAGCATGTTTGGATAAACAAATTCATCAACTTCAAATGTTCCTTCCTCCAGTGAAAAAGTCATCTGAATCTGGAGAGCAATATGCACAGATCAAGCAAAATTTACAGTCTGAATACATAAATATGTTTGTGGATTTTAATGTAAGCTTATTCCACTCCCCTGTGCCACTTTTTTTTTTCAAACCAAGTTTAGTTCATAAAAATGAAGACCCAATCACACTGAAAAAATAAGTTGGTGTAGGATTTACTCAGAAATTGCTAGTAAATTTCACAAATACAAAGAAGCAGCAAGTAGCACATTGAATTTAATGTGAAATTTTGAAGTAGATTTAAATAGTATTACAGATTAAAATAGTATTTTCTTGTAAAATTACCTTAGTTTTATTTAGTTTTACAAAATATTTTTTCCACATATTATGGAGATTGGTACTGGGCTAGAAAAACAATGATCTACGCTACAAACATATATTTCTTTTTTTTCTTCTTTCTTTTACAAAGATTGTTACAAATAATGTCTCTGGAGAGCCCGTATGTATAAAACATTTTAATTATTTATATTACAATACAAGAATACATAATACCGTAAGAGTGTGGGCTCAAACATAGCCAGCACCAGGTAAATATGTGTATGTACACACAGACACACACACACAAAGAAAAAAAATAACACCTTTACAATATTATACAACATCTGACTTGTTTTCTAAAAGGAAATCTGTTCACAGGTCTCTGGCACAGAACCCTCCCTTTCGCAGTCTCCTCTTTTCCACAACGGTTTCCCTCATGCTAAAACGCAAGCGTTCGGTGAGCTAGGCCACACACGCTGACCTGTCAACAAACTGCTCCATGAACACAAAACAAACAAAAGCAGGGGAGAGGCAAAGTGAGCAGAAAATATGGGTCACAAATCTAGTCATATAAAGATAAATCTGATATTACACCTGATGCCTCCAAAAATTGGGAGGGGTTAGAAAAATAAAAGTCTGTATTTAAAAGAATCTATACGGCAGGAATCTTTTTCTTTCTCTCTTCTAGTGCTTTTATGTGAATAACAAAGGTAAAAGGAATTTTTATATAGCTATATATTTTTCTTGGTCACTGTCCTGCTGCACTGACTATTCTCAATCATACATGCTCTGCAGAAAAACACATCACTTGTTTCTTTCTCCTCTGAGTGATGGCACACATTTAAAATCCTTGGACACCTGGCACTTTCCACATAATTATATCTGTGCCTGTCTGCTGACATACCCTCATTTTAGTGTTTTAAAGTCCCCCCCCCCCCCAAAAAACAAACAAACAAAAAAACCCAAGAAAGAAAAGCCTGCAGCCACTGAATAGCCCTGTATCTGTCACAAAGTATTTCTTAGATAATGCCAATGAAAGCTACAATCTCTTAAGAGATGTTATAAAATCTCATGTCTCATTCTCTGAACTTTCAATCAAAGCATGTTAATGGGAGGTTCTGTGCGAGAGGTTTTTTAATTTAACAAGTCACTTGATCAACATACTGAAACACACTCAAAAAGAATAGTTTTGCTACAACAGTCAGGC